TTATTCAAGGTAACTATTTTAGAAAATTCTTTTTTCTATAAAGAGATAATAAGTTTTCCTCCTATGTAGTTATAATAAACATTTACTAAGTCCAGATCTAAATAATACTCACTCGAAGAACACTAGCAAGCAAATAGATTTGCATGGAACTTATTTTCTGCTCATAATTAAATTTTTGAGATCTTTTATGAAAATATTTCAAGAATTATTGATCTACATTATGTCTAATTTTTTTTACTTGTACATTGTAGGAAATGTATTTTTTATAAGACTTAATTGAAACAATGTTGTGAAAAATGCCATGTCATGAATACATCCAACTGTGATGGTTATTTTTGTCACTAGGATGAAATGGAGAAATTGAGATTTGCCATAAAGGATCCTGAGGCTATCTCTACTCATGACCAGCATATGCTATTTGGGAAATTTGCTCAAATAATACAGGAAAAAGAGGTAGAAATTGATCGATTAAATGAGCAAATTAGAGACTTTCATCAACAACTTAGACTTACAACAGATAACAAGGTATACTCATTTAAAATTGGTTATTATCTGAAATCTAATATAGTTAAATAGAGTAATTAGCTTTGGATGCCATCTGTTATAGACTTAATTCAGTATTTTATCTTTTCCAATAAAATGTACTAGTGTTGACATTTTCCTAATAGAGAATCAAATACTAAAAGCATAAGCCACTTATGTTTAATAGAACTTCCAGAATGATGTTCTAAATAAGGTCTTTGTTTGATGTGATAAGGGAGGTGTTGGTCTATATTGAAAGTAACATAATGTGTCTGACAAGCATACAGCTTTTGTGCCTGATCATCTTTACGTTTTTACCCTAAAATAAAACAAAATTTTAAAATATGAATACATATTTTTCTGTGTTTCCCTTTTTCATTAACTAATAGGATTTTGAAGAAAAAAATGAACTGATAAGGGATCTTGAAGCCCAAATAGAATGTCGGAAGAGTGGTCAAGAACGTTTGAAGAAAAATAGAGAAGAAGAAACAGACAAGCTCAATGAAGTGATTGAAAAACTTCAGGAGGAATTGTCATATATTGAACAGAATATGTTGGTGGATACCAGTTCCCCCTCAGAACAAGAGGACAGCTTGAAACATCAGTTGGAAAAGGTTATAGCTGAAAAGCTGGCTTTGGAACAGCAAGTAGAAATCACTAATGAAGAAATGGCCTTCACAAAAAATATACTTAAAGAAACCAATTTTAAAATGGATCAGCTAACACAAGAATTAGTCAACTTGAAGAGAGAACATGACCATAAGGAAAAAATCCAAAGTGTACCAGACGAAAGTGTTAGCATGACTATAGATGATCTCAGCAAAGACCAACCCGAACTGGAAGTAATCCATATTGAAGATGTTCTTAAACCCCCTGAGAACAAGATGTATCTCAGATCTTTTGAAGAAAGCACCAAAGTTTCCAGAAATTTGGAAACAAAACTGCTACAGCTTGAGAGCTCTGTTAGCGCAAAGGACTTAGAACTTATCCAGTGTTATAAACAAATAGAAGACATAAAAGAACAAGGCCAATCTGAAACAGAAATGCTTCAGAAGAAGATCGTAAACCTACAGAAAGTACTTGAGGAGAAAGTAGCTGCTGCTCTTGTAAGTCAAGTCCAACTTGAGGCAGTTCAGGAATATGTGAAATTCTATCAAGATAAAGGAGTAGCTTCATCAGAACTTGAAAAGGAAAATATGCAGAATTTAAATCAAATAACAGAAAACAAGATGGAGTCAGATATGTCTGCATTAACCTTGAGAATATCAGACTTAGAAAGACAAGTGATTGAAATGCATACTACTTTGATTTCAGAAAAAGAACAAGTGGAAACTGCAGAGAAAAATGCTTTGGAAAAAGAAAAGAAGCTGATAGAACTGCAGAAGTTATTGGAGGACAGTGAGAAAAAAATAGAAGGAAAAGAAAGGAAAAGAAGCCCTCATGGAGATTTTGTTCTCAAGGTTAGTTTTATATTTGAGTTTTTCACATAAATACCCTAAGAAACTCTTTTTTTTTTTTTTTTCCTTTGCTTATTAAGCTGATTGGTAATTTACTAAGTCAAACAGTTCTGCTGACACCTACCAATTTATACATAATGGGATTTTATTTAAAAAAATCATATTGTTCTTAAAGAACTTTAGACAAACTAAAGAGTTTGTTTGAGCAAAAAGTGCTACATGCATTGTGCAACACTCAGAACCAGAAGAGATTGAAACAGTTTCACTGTGCAACAGTGGGTGGTATTTAGAGGCAGAACTCACAAATAAAATTCAGAAATTGCTTGATTGGTCATGGCTAGACCTTGTTTGGATGTGATTTGATTGGTTGATTGCCTATGATTGGCTGAAACATAGTTGCCTACTATCATTGGCTGAGACTTAGTAGTTGATTATACTCTGTTCATTTGTTTTCCTACCAAGTTACATTGCAGTTTCTTACACAGAAACTCAAGGTATAGAGACCAGATTAAATTTAACACTATAGGGTCATTTTATTATCACTAGAATAATGGGCCCATATATATTTTGTGATTTTCAAACATTAAATTTAGCAAATGTCCTCTAGAATTTCTGTGAATATTTTCTCCCTTAATGTACCTCTACTAAGTATGTTATGTCATCATCTCTTTTAAGTATCATAGTGCACCCCATAATCATCACCACCACAGTAATGTATATTCATAAGTATTCTATACATTCTAATCTTGCACCAAAGACAGTTTATTAATAGTAATAGATGATTTTTAATTAATTCCAGCACAATTTTTTTTTTGGTTGGGGGGAGAGCTTCATAAAATGGTCATACCACACTTTTGCAAAAATAATTTTGGCATAAAATCTGTGAAAGTTATGTAGGTGAGATACAATTATAAAAATATCAAAACATTCATATGAAATTAACATATGAGTAACAAGTTATTAGCTTGGCAAATTTTATGCCTCATAATAGATTTTATTCTTCTTAGGAAAAATTTGTAACTGACCTAAGTCTACTTACATAAAGATCAGAAATTGCAATTATTTCTTAGTGTATGACAGACATGACAAAGATTTTTTTCCTTCAAGTTCCCTCACTTAATAAACTTACAATTTCAAGTACCAGAAGTTGAGTCTTATCTGCCCCAGAAGATTAATTGATACATTGGGATTTTATGTCTACTTAATTTATATTGGCAAAGGATAATAATTTCATTCACTATACTTTTTCTTCCTAGCTCATTGGAATTGCATATTTCTGTAGGTAATAATTATTAAAATATTAATATAACTTTTTAGGTATAACTTATAGTAATTATCTTTGAGCTCATATCTTTTGAGGAAAGTAATATAAATATGAAACTTTTGAGTGGCACAAAGAATATTTTTATCAATAATTTATAAATGTTATATATATTAATGGCATGATTTGTCTTTCATTCCCAGAAAATCTTTCTTATTTCCTTAAGAATACAAAATGATGGTTCTTAAAATGTTTCACTGTTTGTTGAAAGAGCATTTATCACTAAAACCCCTAGGCAGTTAGTCTTGGAAAAGCTTCATTAGAATGTGTAAATGCTTTGAACTTAGCTTTTTTTTTTTTTTTTTAAATGATGTATTTCTTATGTTTTCTACTGTATCCAGACAGCTACTGAGTTAATAAATGCCCGTGGAGAAAGTGGATTTTTTGAAGAACTTGAGGCTCTTAAAATCGAGTTAGTGGCTACCAAAGAAGAACTTGCCACTTTCAAAGAAAGGACAGAAAAACTTCAAAAAGAGCTTTTGGTAAGACAAGTAACATAACTCCTAATTCATTCATTTCTACCCATCTTAATTCCCTTTCAAAATGTCTTATAGAAACAAGTCCAGAGCCATAACTTAAAAACTAAATTTACAAGTCTTTTTGAAAAATTCCATTGTTATAAATCTATTCACCATCTCCTTGCTTGTTTTGCTAGGAATCTTTATATTAGAAGAATGCTTTTAATCTCTAGTCTTTTAGCAAAGGAAGCGAAAAACTGCTGTTAAAGAGAACTTAAATCCCCTGAGAAACAAAAGTAAAGGCTAATAAAATTATTTCAATTTTGTAGTAACCTGTGATCATACATACATGCGAAAGTTTATATGTATTACAATTTCCAAAGTGTTTTTCCTATTATTCTGAGGCAAGTGAACATATAAATGAAATTATACTCTTTCCCTCTCCTCTGTAAGTTCTTCATTTGATGTGCAAGATTTTCAACTTAATTCATCTGTGTTTTAGGTAAAAGAGACAAATATGGCATCTCTTCAGAGAGATTTAAGCCAAGTTAAGAATCAGCTTGGTGAGGAAAAAAAGAAATTATCCCACTTCTTAATAAAAGAGGATAAGTCTGAAGTACTAACAAACAGAAACATCTGCTTAGAGCCACTTCCTGTTGAAGTAGGTAAAAACACTGCATCCCAAACGGACCAAATACTCAAGGTCAACATGAGCAACCAGACTCCACAAATTCTTGTTAAAAATGCAGGAATTCAAATTGATGTACAGACTAGCTGTTCCTCAGAAAAAGTCTCTGAAATAATTAGGCAATTTACTGAAATAATTGAACGCATACAAGAACTTCATGCCGCTGAAATTTTGGATATGGAATCCAGACATATTTCAGAAACTCAAACTTTAAAGAGGGAACATTATGTTGCTGTTGAGTTACTGACAGAGGAGTGTGGTACATTGAAGGCAGTGATACAGTGTCTGAGATCTTTTAAAGAGGTATTTATTTTGTTGTTGTCGTGTGGGGGGAGTTTCCACTGTTGTCAACAATCTGTTTTTAAGCAAAAATTTTAAAAGAAATTTGGGAAATATCTCTTCTTTATACTATTAGAATTTAAGTCTCCCCATTGTACTAGATAATAGAGTTCTTATGTAAATTTGCAACTTGTTATGGTTCCTTAAATAATAACTATCTCTTCTTACTATGGTAATATCCATAAGGAAAAAATTGTTATAAATCATAAGATAGTTTCATTTCAAGTATGCTTAGATTGAGTTTTTTCTTTTTCTTTCCTTTTCCTTTTTACAGCATTATAACAGCAAAATAGTTCATTGGGTTCTGTTTTTATTAAAACAAAAATATTTATGTATGTTGTTTCTTTTTTCTAATTAGGGATCCTTGATTCCTGAAATAACGTATTCTAATGCTTACCAAACTAGAGGAATCTATTCCAGTGGTAAGTTATATAAAATTCTGGAATGTTTATAGTATTTGATTAAAACATGTTATTTTTGTTTGGAGAAGGGTATGTTTTTTATTTTTGTTTGTTTGTTTAACAACAAATGATTGTTTTCTTTTTTTTTTTTAATTTTTTATTGTTGCATTTATACACAATGGAGTATTACTCTGCATTAAAAAATGACAAAATGATTGTTTTCTTTATTTTAGATTCTGGATCAGACTGGAGTCAGGGAGTTTATCTTACGCAAAATCAGGGATTTGACACAGCATCAGAAGGACGAGGAGAAGAAGGTGAAAATTTAACACAATCATTTCCAAAGAAAATAAAGGTACTAAAAGATAAATGTTACTGAAACATAATATATTTTAGTAAACTTAGCCAGTATAATTTCTATGTTGAACATAGTAGTTTATTTAAAGTTATATACTGGATCTCTGAAAAAACTGTATAGCAAGAAAGATCGAAGGAAGGGGGAGAGAGAAGGAGAAAATATTCTGCCCTCCACTCCCTCCTTTCTTCCAGGATTAGTGACCAGATCTTTTTGTCAATTCTCTGTTAACTAGATATTGAGGAAAAAGGATGTTGGAAGTACCATCCCTGGTTGCTCAAACAATGTCTAGTACAGTCCACCCCATCAAATAGAAGCAAAGGGTAGCACTCACCTCATGCTTCAAATGAAAACAGGCTAAAATAAATGACTTAAAAGAAAAAAAAAATCCATGAGAATCTATTTCATTTTATTTCCATATTCCACAAATAATAAAATACAATATATTAAATAATTATGTTATGAAGATTTAAAAAAATAATTTTTATTACTGGTGTTTTTGTTTGCCAAAATTATAAAAGCAGTCTCAAGGAATGGAAGTTTTTCCCACAGTATTTCTTTTGGTCAAATCAATGGCTAATCATTAAATCTAGGAAGAGTACATTAGCTAAACTGAAGGAACTTAGAGATGAAAGCTATGGAAATCATAGACCATCTATTGCAATTGACTTAGCTCTCCACAGGAAGAAGGCATTTAGTAAAGGTGCCTGGAATTTCTTTTCTGCGGTTGCTTTTCTAAATCTATTTTGCTTCATAATGCTATATTGCTTAATATTTATTTGTCTTTGTAGCTCTCATTTTTTCAGTATTTGGAGAAGTTGTCATAACTTTGGCTTTTGGATTTTGGTTTCTAGGGATTACTGAGAGCTGTTTATAATGAGTGCATGCAGGTGCTTTCTCTCACTGAGTCACCATGTGGTGATAGAGAAGATCATTCTATTCAACAGGTTTCAGAATTTTGGCTAAAAGAGAGAAGAGCTTACCTTAATATCATCTCATCTCTTAAGGAATTAATTACCAAAATACAAGTGCAAAGGGAATCTGAGGTACCCAAAGAATGTTATATTCTATGTAGCATTGTTATTTTTAATGACAATAATGAACTTTGTAAATTAAATTCTTTTTTATATGAATTTTCACATAAATTATTGTATGTATTTTCAGACTCAAAAATACATGCGTTCTTTTAAATACCTATTTTGGTTAGTAGAATGTTTTTAAAACATGCTTATTTGAAACCTAACTTTTGTTATTCGTACTCTGCTAGGTTTGTGATAATTCTCAATCTCATGAGAGCCTCCCGGACTGGCGAGGGGAATTTCTACTTGCTCTCCAACATGTTTTCTTAAAGGAGCACAATGTTTTGCTGGCTGCATTTCAGACTGAACTGACAGCTCTAGGCACTAAAGATGCAGTTGGATTATTAAAGTGTTTGGAACAGCGAATACAAGAACAGGTATCAAAACAAAATTTTATTTTAAAGAATACTATTTTTAATAGTAATAAGAAAATCAGTTGCTGATTTGTTTTAGAGTCTTAATTTAAGTATGAAGATTAGCATTTTTAACAGGGGCCACTAAGAGTATTTAGGAGAAGAACATTACCTTTTGTCTTATATTAGAAAGTAAGAAAAACTTAAAATTAATGAGATAGTCCTCAAACTTGGAAAGTTAGAAAGAGGAGTAAAACCTAAAGAAAAGAGAAGGAATAAGATACAGTCACTTATCATTATTTGCAGTAGTTATATTTCCCACAGGAAATACAGGAATAGGTTACTGTAAGCCTCAATCACAATATTTTCATCAACCAGTCAATACATGATCTTATTTTCTGTGTGGTTCTGTTTAAAGAAATCTTATATGGGGAGGGGAGAAGAGATGTATCTCAGTGGTAGAATGCTTGCCTAGCATACTCTTGGCCCTGGGCTCAGTACTCAGTGCCATTAAAAAAAGAAAAAAGATACCTTCTGTGTTGTATATTATTCATTAATGTTTAATGCGGCCAAGAGCAATCATACAGAAGCTTATCTAACACACTTTTCTCCTTAAAGCATGCCACAGATTTCTTGCACTTAGGAACACCAAGCCCTTCACTTGTGGGCCATTTAAAACCACGAAATCACAAATACAAAGCACAATATGGAAAAACAAGTTACTAAACAGGACATTTGTGTACAATATGAGAGCTAAAATACAAAGGTAGAGTATGCCCTTGTTTAACTCAGCCAGGAACATGTGCATGAGGAAATTTAAATTTTTTACTACTCTAACTATGTCTGACAAAGCAATACAAGTATTGATTTGAGGGTTACAAAAACTTTTTATCAAGTAGACAAATCTGAAAACACAGGATCCATTAATAATGAGGATTAACTACAATAAAGTAAAAAACATTAATGAAATGTATAACCAGTACAATATAGAGGATAAAACATTAAAAATTGGTTCCTTGAAAATGCTAAATAAGAAAATCTTTTCTGGAGAATTCATTATGATTTTTAAATGTTATAAATGAAGATGAGATCATAATTAAACATGTAACAAATAAAATAACAAAATATTATAAATTATTTTATTTATACAAATAAAAAAATTGAGGTGAAATTTTTTTAAAAAATCACTTATCAAAATTCATGCTGGAAGAAATAGAATACCTGAAAAGACCTACAACAGAATCAAATCAGTAGGGCTGGGGTTGCAACTCAGTGTACAGTGCTGGGTTAGATCCTTAGCACCACATATAAATAAATAAATTAATTAAAGGTTTTGTGTCCAACTACAACTAAAACAAAAAAAAAATTTTTTAATCTTCTCACAATACTTAGTACCCAGGACTTGGTTTTTTAAATACGTTATCCATTAAAAAGAATTAGGAATCCTTTTGCATCTGATGATTCCAAGAATAGAGTAGGAAGACAATAAGGTAAACCTGGAATCCCTCATTTTGCCAGCATGTAAAGAATTATTCAAAGAAATAAGGGAATATGTCAGAAGGTCACAGAAGCCTGTTGAAGGTTCCCTCACTGGCCAAAGTTAGAAAATTAAAAGATCAAACAAAATGAAAGTGACAGATTTTAAAGTTAAGACTAAAATAAGAATTCATGAGCTCATGTAGATGGATATATATTATCACAGTTGAATGCCAGCTATTAAATGTAGAAGGAACAAAGGAATTATAAGATCATACTTTATTCAACAATATAGTAATGATCAATTCAGCAATAATCAACAGTGGATGCTAAAACTAATGTGAAAAAGTTGATAAGAAAAGTAAACTACAAAAGGAAAAACAGTAACTTTACACTGGAGAAACCTTGCAAGCCCCACCCAAATGATCAGAATCAATATTACCAGTAATGGGGAAAAAAAGACATCGAGTACTTCCTAATACTTCTATGAAATGCATAATCAGAATCCACTTGGGAAAATATGAGACCAAAACCAACTGAGGCCACCATGCATCTATTAGACTGGGCAAAATAAAAAATAGTGACACCACCAAATGCTGGTAAAGAGGGAGAGAAACTTCATGTCACATACATTGCTGGTAGGCAGTGTAAAGCAGGACTGCTACTCTGGAAACTAAATCTGGCAGTGTCTTGTAAAGGTAAACGTACATCTGTTACACAGCCTAGCAGTCACACGTGTAGATATTTAATCAACAGAAATGAAAACTGGTGTCTATTTATGAACCTATTTATGAATGTTCACAGTAATTTTCTTTGTAATAACCAAGTACTTGAAACAACCCAGATGTCCTGCAGTAAGTGAATAGATGGAGAAACTGTGATATATTCATACAATGAAATACTATTCAACAATTAAAAAAGGAACAATCAATACCCTAAACTTCCTGTGTGTTATGTAACTTCTAAAAATGACAAAATTATAGTGATAGAGAACACATCAGTAGTTGCCAGAAGTTAGGGTTAGGGAGAAGAGGGTAGGACTACAGAGTAGTCTCTGTGGTGATTGAAATAATTTTTACCCTTATTGTGGTACATATATATGAACCTGTTCAAGTGATGAAATTTCATAGTACTGTATGCCAAGAGAAAAAATGAGTACATGTAAACAAATGAAATTTTATTAAAACCTGTAGTTTAAATAGAATTTTATCCATGTCAGTTTCTTAGTTTTGATAATGTGCTCTGATTATATAAGCTATTATTGGGGAAAGCTGGCTGAACCCCTCAAGTACTTTGACTTACATTAGTCCAAAAAAGTTTTTTTAAATTAATGTACATGCAACAAAATAACCTGTCTGTACTCTTCAAAAAATTTCAGATCACGAAAGACAAAGGAATACTTATGAATCACTTTTTTTTTCTTAAAGAACTTTTGGCAAAATTTGAAAAAACTCTCTATACCAGATAATATTATGATAAGTTAATTACTCTTTTGATCATTATACTGCAGTTATGTAAAAGAATGCTCTTATTTTTAGGAAGTACACTACAGTATTTAGAGGTAAAGAAGCATCTATCTGCAAGAAATCCTCCCACATTTTAGACAAAAATAATGAAATTTTTAAAAGAAAAAAACTTTAGCATGTGTAGTTCATTTATTCTTCAGACTTCTGGTTGTTAATTTTATTATCTTTACAACTCTCTTCACTTGATTTTTTCTTTTCCTTTGTTACAAAAAGGGTATTGAATATCGAGCAGCTATGGAATATCTCCAAAAAATAGACAGAAGAAGCTTATTATCTGAAATTGAAGTACTACGTGCTCAAATTAATGACAAGAAAATGACCTTGAAAAGAGAACAAGAAAATGATAAACCAAACCTAGGTATGTTACAAAACAGACTCATATAATTACACAAATGGGTGAAAATATTTCACTTTACATTATTATTACTCAGTTAAAACATTTCCTTTTAGTGGTATTGATTTCTCATTTTCATAACATTAATTATATTAATTACTGTAGTGGCTAGAGGATTGTCAAATTGATTTTAAACAACTGTATCTAATTTTAAATACAGTAGCCTTACCTTGACCAAGTTAAACAAATTAATTTCATGGTCTCTTTTTTTGTTTGTTTGTTTTGATTAGTTATACATGACAGTAGAATGCATTTATGCACTTTGATATATCATGAATAGATGGGATATAATGTCTTATTTTTCTGAGTATACATGTTGAAGAATCATATTGGTCATGTAGTCACATATATACATACAGTAATAATATCTGTTTCATTCTACTATCTTTCCTATCCCTACATTCCCTCCCCTCTTCTCCCATCACTTCCCTCTACCTAATCTGAGGTAACCCTATTCTTCCCTACTACCCCCCACCTTATTGTGAATTAGCATTCACAAATTAGAGAAAACATTTGGCCTTTAGTTTTATGGGATTGGCTTATTTTGCTTACCATGATATTCTCCTACTCCAACCATTTTCTGGCAAATGCCGTAATTTCACTCTCCTTTAAAGCTCTGAGTAATATTCCATTGAGTATATATACCACATTTTCTTTATCCATTCATCTGTTGATTGACACCTACGTTGGTTCCATTGATAAGCTATTGTGAATTGAACTGCTATAAACATTGATACAGCTGCATCACTATAGTATGCTGATTTTAAGTCCTTTGGGTATATAAACCAAGGAATGGGATAGCTGGGTCAAAGGGTGGTTCCATTCCCAGTTTTCTGAGGAATCTCCAAACTGCTTTCCATAGTGGTTGCACCAATTTGCAGTCCCTCCAGCAATGTATGAGTATGCCTTTTCCACCACATCCTCACCAACATTTGTTGTTGCCTATTCTTGATGATTGATTGCCATTCTGACAGGAGTGAGATGAAATCTTAGAATAGTTTTGATTTGCATTTCTCTAATTGCTAGAGATGTTGAACTCTCTTAAAGCTGTACATTAAGAAAGGTGTTTTACATACTAGAGGATAACTACCTAAAGGAAAAGGAAATCCATAATGAAAGTAGCCATTTCTTTTTTAATCCCTCTTTTTAAAAATTTAACTATAACAACATACAGAAAAGTGAACAGTTCAACTCTTCAGTATGACATTTTTTTAAATTTTTTTAATATTTATTTTTTAGTTGTTGTTGGACTTAATACCTTTTTTTAAAAAAATTTATTTATTTTTATGTGGTGCTGAGGATTGAACCCAGGGCCTCACACATGATAGGCGAGCACTCTACTGCTGAGACATAACTCCAGCCCCAGTATGACATTATTATATGAATGTCTATGGAGGAGACATTGCTTGTGTTAAGAAGTAGAACATTCTGAAGCCCCCTCTTTAGCAACTTAGAGGTTATCCTGATTTTTCTTTAGTTTTATTACTAATTTATATATTCCAAAATCATATATGTTTAAAGTTTTTCTATTTTTGAACTTTATCTGTATATTTTATGTCTTCTGTCACCTTCCTGAATTATCCCAACTTACTGCATTTATCTATAGTTCATTTTTGTTACCATGCAGAATTCTCTTGTTTGGATATTCTACAACTTATATTTCATTCTGTGGTTGATTAGATTTGGATTGTTTCTGCTTTTTAGCTATTAGAGTCATTGCTGTTGTGGACACTGTTGCAAAGTGTTTCTGATGCAATTGTACTTATGTCTTTCTAGGAGTGAAATTGCTGGGTCATAGAATTCATATCTTTAAATTTATTAGAGAACACCAAACGATTTTAAAAGAGTAGTTTTGTTAGGGGCTGCGGTTGGGGCTCACAGGTAGAGTACTCACCTAGCATATTGGAGGCCCTGGGTTTGATCCTCAGCACCACATAAAAATAAATAAAATAAAGATATTGTGTCCAACTACAACTAAAAAATAAATCTTTTTTAAAAAATGTAGTTTTGTCAATTTGTGCATGCACTAGCAGTATATGAGAGTTGTGTTATATACAACTTTGCCAACTTTCCAGTATTGTTAGACCTTTGCTGCCAATCCGTTTGGCGTGCAGTACATAATTGTAGTTTTAATTGATTTTAATTATTCAAGTGGCTTAGTGCTTTTTCATATGATTATCAACTATTTGGATTATTGTTTTTGTGATATGCTTGCTTGGATCTTTTCCCCACTTTCTGATAAAAGTCTATATAATTTAACTGTAAATGGAAATCATTATTAAATTCTCATCTATTGAGGACACATGCATCTTTAGTAACTGTTTCATGTAGTGATGATAGAAACACCTGTGCTTTTGCAGACTTTAAAATCACCACACAAGCTCAAAATTTGTCATTGAAAAGCTGAATCATGTTAACATGAAAACAGGTATAATAAGTTAAACATATCCCTGTAGACAAAGGCTTAATTGAAAAGTTTTAGAGGTAATTAATATTGTTTATATAGAATGCTATTGAAGTCTTAATGAGTATCTCTGTAGATTCATGTTTATATGTGTAAATTATTAACCTCTACCCCTAAGAAATAGTTTTAAAAGCTAAATTAACATGATTATCATCTAAAGTCAATGTTATGTCCTTCTTGTAATATCATTCTTACTAATTGTAATGTCTGTTGATGAACTTTGCTAGAATTTTAAGTAAAAACTTTTCTTATTAAATATGTAATGTTACATATTTATGGTGGAATAGAAAAAACAAGAGAGTAAAAATCACATCTTGAGTCACATAAATCCTAAAATAATGACTATTTAACACCCAAGTAAATATGTCTACAGACCTTTTCAATGTCCATATGTACATAAGTATATTTTCTGTCATAAAAACAGGATCCTGATGCATATTTTGTAACCTGTTTTTACTTAACATGTATAAGATTTTAGTTCGGGGACGGAACTCAACCACTGAGCCCTCTTTTATATTTTATGTAAATACAGAGTCTCACTGAGTTGCTTAGCACCTCACCATTCCTGAGGCTGGCTTTGAACTCATGATCCTCCTGCGCCACTAGGATTACAGGCTTGACCACCACACCTGGCCGAGATTTAAATTCTTGAGTTTGTTTTCATTGTAACAAATGTGTATTATGGAGGGTTTGGTTCGTTTTTATTGAAAAAAACAAGATCTCAACTGGAGTTTGGACTTCTATTTCTGGAACAGTTATAAAAGTAAAGTTCCTAAGGACTGTCTGCAAAGAGAGGTTGAACAAAAGAAGCAAACAGTGCCAACCATTATAGTCATAGATACATGAATAACTCCTACAAGTACTATGTGTGATTTTCAAAAGTTCTTGGAGGGCTGGAGTTGTGGCTAACTGTGTGAGGCACTGGGTTCAATCCCCAGCACCACATAAAAATAAATAAATAAATGTATTGTGTCCATCTACAACTAAAATTAATAAATAAAGAAATTTTTTTATATTTTTTAGTTTTAGGTGGACACATTATCTTTGTTTTTACATTTATGTGGTGCTGAGGATAAAACCCAGTGCCTCATGCATGCTAGGCAAGCGCTCTACCACTGAGCCACAACCCCAGCCCCTGTTGTTAAACTTTTATCATTTTCATAAATACTTCTGAAATCTTGGCCACTACCACTATGAGGAAAACATGCATAAAGTTTATTTGTATTAAACTTTGGGGACTGTAATCCTTTCATGATTGCTTTGCAGTTATCTCCTATGTTACAAATCAGTTCTTATCAATAAAATATTTATAAACCAAATAGGAGTTACTAGGTTAAATTATAAATATTGATCATTTTTTCTTTAGAACTTTTGGAATATACTATGCAGCAGAAGCAGTCTCAAATTCTGGAGATGCAAGTGGAGCTCAGCAATATGAAAGACAAAGCAAGTGAACTTCAAGAACACCTGAGTTCAGAAAAAATGGTAGTTGCTGAACTAAAAAATGAAATTGCACAAACGGAATTGGAACTTGAAACAACACTCAAGGCACAGCATAAGCATCTAAAGGAACTAGAAGCATTCAGGTATACCACACTTCCTAATTATAAATGTGTATTAGTGAAGGAATTGGAGTACTTTTGTCATAAATATTATGCAGATATTATAAAAATAAAATACATGTTGTTTAAGTAGCATGTGATTTTGTTATTTATGGGAAAAAACTACAGTAGAGGGTGAAAATCCCCAATTTTTCCAAATTATAAGTTTAAGATTGTTTTGGCCCAATCTGTATTGTGGCCCTCAGTTCTATTTGAGACTTGTATAAGATATACTTGTGATCTTTGTTTTACCTCCAGCCAATATGAACTTAACCTTTATGATCTCAATGTGTTTCAGAATTTAGTTAGCTAAAATACACAGTATTTGAAGATATAACGCTTATGAAAAGGATATATTTGTTGGTATAAATACTAAGGTATTTCGTTTGTAAAAATGCATGACAATTCCCATGTTCAGTAAAAGACAAGGGAAATGTTTTGTTAATATTCTTTTCTAGAAACAGATTGGATAATTGTTACAGTGGTAAATAATGGTAGTTGTACAGGTAATTTGAAATAAACCACAGTTAATCCTTAATCTCTAAATAGTTTATATTTTTCTATTAGGTAGTTTATAATGTGCCTCAGCCCTTTAGTGAAAATGTTGCCTGTTTCTCTCAATACATAGAATAGTTTTATGAAAGTTCATTTAATCATTTTATTTAGATTCAAAGTAAAAGACAAGACAGATGAACTACATTTGCTTAATGATACACTAGCAAGTGAACAGAAAAAATCAAGAGAGCTCCAGTGGGCCTTAGAGAAGGAAAAAGCCAAATTGGGACGCAGTGAAGAGAGAGATAAAGAACAACTTGAGGTATTCTCTTTGCCCTTCTATTTTTTGAAAATCTAAACTCTTGAGATTTTTCTCTAAAATGTCAACCTTAATCGCTGGGATTGTGGCTCAGTGGTAGAGCGCTTGCCTAGCACGTGTGGGGCACTGGGTTCAAACCTCAGCACCATGTAAAAATAAATAAATAAAATAAAGGTATTGTGTCCCTCTACAACTAAAAAAATGTTTTTTAAAAAATGACAACCTTAGACTCTTGTATGTGTTGAATATTGTTGTAGTGTTATCTAAACTGAATTATGAGGAAATGTTAATGGTACGATAAATTTTTGTTACATCCAAGGAAGCAGACAGATTGCTCTGCTGCACCATATTTTGGGGATATGAACACATTTTGATAAATAGGGCAGTTGTGTCGGTTTAATACTAAAGTAGTTTTTTGGTTCCTGTTTCCTCTTAAAGAAGGATAAAAAGAATACTTTCCTGGTACCAGGAGCCCTTCTGTTACACTTCAAGAATATTTAAAATGAACATTGGGGGCTGGAGCTGGGGCTGGGGCTCATGTGGTAGAGTGCTCACCTAGCATGCGTGAGGCACTGGATTCGATCATCAGCACCACATAAAAAAAATAAAACAAAGGTATTGTGTCCACCTATAAATATATATAAATATATTTTTAAAAAACTAAAAAAAGAACATTAGGCTTTCTCAGAAACTTATTCATACAGAAGTACTTAACAATAAAAAAACACTATTAATATAGTGAAACTGTGAAGCAAAAACACATTTGGAGAAATGTTCCCTGCTTCATATTTAACTATGTAAGATTAATATTTAAGATTAAAAGTGTTATTATTTTACCAAGTTTTTTTGGGGGGGAAGGAGGGGTGCATTGTAACAACAATAGTGAGATTCATTATGCCACATTTGTACATGAACATAACATAATTTGATCAGTCTTATTCCCCAGGAGCTCCCCTTTCATCCGCCTCTTCTCCTCTGATTCCCTTCCTCTACTGGTCTGCCTTCTTTTATTTATTTTTTATTTAGTACATTATAATTGCATGTAAAAGTGAGATTCATTGTGTTGTATATGTACATGAACAGAGCATAATTGATTAGATTTCATTCCCCAGTACTTCTCTATGGCCTCCCTTTCTCTCTCCATCTTGATGCCTTTCTTCTACTGGTCTTCTTTCTGCTTTCATGAGATTCCTTCCCCCCTGCCCCCTCTCCTCCTGTCTCTCTAGCTTCCACAAATGAGAGAAAATTTAATAAACTGAACAAAAGTTGTATTTTCTGTTACCAAATACTACCAATTTAATATTAATAAAGGTGTAATCATGTATTTACAAAGCTTTTTTTGGGGGGGAGTGGGGGATGCTGGGGATCGAACCCTGAGCCTTGTATATGCAAGGCAAGTATTCCACAACTGAGCTACATTCCCAGCCACTACAAAACATTTTTAATGAAGTTATTTGATTTTTAAGTTTTTAAGTTATTTGATTTTTCTCTCACAAGGACTTGAAATTTTCACTTGAGGATCAAAAACAGAGAAATATTCAACTAAACCTACTTTTGGAAGAACAGAGACAACTACTAAATGAATCACAGCAGAAAACAGAATCACAGAGAATGCTATATGATGCCCAGTTATCAGAAGTACAAGGCCGAAACTTGGAGCTTCAAGTACTTCTTGAGTCTGAAAAAATTCGTATTCAAGAAATGAGTAGTATTCTAGATAGGGAACGGCAGTTCCATGCACAGCTACATAGCAGTGACAGTAGTGGGCAGCTTCAGTCATCATTACCCTCAGATGACCTACTTATAGAGCTACAGAAAGAGCTGGAGGAAAAACACCGTCGTATAGTAGAGTTGTTAAATGAAACTGAAAAATACAAACTGGATTCTTTGCAAATGAGACAGCAAATGGAAAAAGATAGACAGGTTCACAGGAAGACGTTGCAGACAGAACAGGAGGCCAATACTGAGGGGCAGAAAAAAATGCGTGAGCTCCAGTCCAAAGTTGAAGATCTTCAGCGCCAGCTGGAGGAGAAGAGGCAACAAGTTTATAAGTTAGACCTTGAAGGAAAGCGATTGCAGGGAATTATGCTGGAATTCCAGACACAAGAACTAGAACGAGAAGAAAAACGAAGTAGACGAATTCTATATCAGAATCTTAATGAGGTAAATTGACACTTTGTTTCTTTTTAAATATATTTTAAGTTATTTGAGCAAGTTACTTGCCCCTTGAGCAAAAACTTTTGATATTGATTAAAGTATTTAAATAGTTAAGTGAAAATTATTCAAAATTAATTCTATAAACCTTATTTGGAATATAAACAATAATTGTGCTCCCTCTTAAGAAAGAATATGAAACGCTATATGTTTATAATTATTGTTTTGTTTTATCCAAAATCACCAGCCAACCACCTGGAGCTTAACTAATGATCGAACAAGGAATTGGGTTCTTCAACAGAAAATAGAAGGAGAGACAAAAGAATCAAATTACCCTGAAATGAATGGAGGGGAAACTGGTTATAACCATGAAATAGAAATGCTCAGACAAAAGCTTCAACTTGTGGCTTCAAAACTGCACCATCTAGCCCAGAAAGCCTCTAATAGGTTAGACTTTTCTGTCTTATCTTCAGAAATGGCATTCTTAGACAGGCTAGGTAGACTCTGTCCCTTATGAATAGGTAGCCAAGAGTAGAGAATTAAAATTTTAAAGATGATGCATATTTACATTAGGAAACATCATTCTTTAAAAATAGCCCATGTGTCTGAAAATACCTTAACACTTAACCCAGGAAAAGAGAACACTTAGCCTAAGGAATAAGTGATAAGCAAAGCAGTGTGTCCCCTAATCTGTGGTGTTTGTGTTAGTAAGCATCCCTGAGGAGGTCTGTATTGACTTTGTCTTTTCTTTGAAGACTACAGTTTGAAACAGCAGATGATGAAGCTTTCATTTGGGCACAGGAAACTATTGATGAAATTACTTTACAATTACAGAAATTAACTCACCAACCAGGTGAAGAGGTAAGACTTTTAATTAAAACTCTTTGTAAAATATAAAGAGCAAAGATTTAATAGAAATTATGAATCATGGGCCTGAAGTTGTGGCTCAGTGGTAGAGAGCTTGCCTAGCATATGTAAGGCACTGGGTTCGATTCTCAGCACAGCATGTAAATGAATGAATAAAATAAACGTCCATCAACATCTTGAAAAAATATATATGAATCATTTGAAACTGGCAGTATATGCTATATAAGCATTTTGATCTTTTATTAAATTTTAAATATAACATTTGCCAAGTTACATTGGCCTCTTTTTAAGAGACCAGGCTTTTTGAAAGAGCAGTCTGAGATGTACCCTCACCACTCCATAAAACCACCTGCAGAATCCTACCAGTGTCTTCACAAGTGACTAATTTGATAAATCTCCTCACTCCCTTTCTTTCTTGACTTTGTAGAATTTGACATTTTCAGTGTCTTCCACCTTCTTGAACCCTTCTCTTTCCTTGCCTTTTATGTCAGTATTCTTTCATCTGCTTCTTTATCGGTTTCTTTCATATGTTCCTCTTCTATCATTTTTCATGTTTTTATCTATTCATATTTTTATCATTCCCATAGCCTGAGTGCTCACTACACTTAGCAAGTGATAATATATTTTATATTGAGCACCTACTATATGCCATGTACTATACTAAGTCCTAGGGATACAATGAACAAATTTGACAGAAATCTTACCCTCATGAAGATTATTGTCAAGTAGACAGTAGCTCCATTATAGACCTTTGACCTGGACTCCAAGTTCATTTAATGATTAACACCTTTTCTTTAAGAAGTATCCCCCAGGGCTGGGGTTGTGGCTCAGTAGAGGAGCACTCGCCTAGCGCTGTGCAAGGCCCTGTGTTCAATCCTCAGCACCACATAAAAATAGTAAAACAAAGGTATTGTGTCCAACTACAACTAAAAAATAAATATTAAAAAAAAGAAGAAGAAATATACCCCATAGTGTCTTAGGAAATTCCCAGGCACCTTCCAAATTGAACATCATCTTCCCTTTCTCCCTCATGCCCTAGACCCCCTTTCTGGTCATTGGCATCACCCAGTATAAAACCCAAGCCACCATGCACTGTTTTCCTTCACCCTTGACCTGTACATCTAAGCAGTCACTAAGTTCTATGTCTTCTACCTCCTTAAATATCCATCCCATTTGCCCAGGGCTGGGGATGTGGCTCAAGCGGTAACGCGCTTCCCTGGTATTCGCGGGGCGCTGGGTTCAATCCTCAGCACCACATAAAAATAAAATAAAGATGTTGTGTCCACTGAAAACTAAAAAAATAAATATTAAAAACTTCTCTCCCCCCCCCCCCTCCCCCCCCCCCCCCCCCCCCCCCCCCCCCCCCCCCCCCCCCCCCCCCTCTCCCCCCCCTCCTCCTTCTTCTTCTTCTTCTCTCTCTCTCTCTCTCTATCTATCTCTCTCTGTCTCTCGAGGAGTTTGCCTAACACTTGGACATTGTATCTACCCTAATTTACTTTACTGTGCACATGGCTACCAAAGGAACTTTGTTTGTGGCAAGCTCCTGCTGAAAGCCTTTCATGGCTCACAAAGACTCTCCATTGCCCTCATTTATGTCTGTTATTCATAAGTGAAGCAGCTTTTACTCTCTAGCCTTACCAAGCAATTTACAGCTCCCTAAAAGCAATATACTCTTGCATAAACCTTTGAGCTTTTATATGTGCCTTTCCTTCTGTTTACTAGATTTTTTTCTTGCTTGCTAAATTTCTATGATTTAACCAAGCAACAGTTTGTGAAATCTATTGCTCTCCGTGCCTCGTCACACTTTCACATATATTTGTGCTTGTGTGATCTAACATCCATTTTATTTTTTCAGCCTACCTTAGTATTACCAGGTACTTCTGGGTGTTCATTAACTGAAAGACTACTCAGACAAAATACTGAACTGACAGGATATATCAGCCAACTGACTGAAGAAAAGAATAATTTGAGGAATGTGGTCGTGAATATGGAAGAGCAGTTGAGGCGCTGTCAACAGACAGGAACTGGTGGAGATTATGTACGTCATTTTAGAAGTAGTGCCAAGTTACAGTTTCTGCTATCTAATTTTGGTTCTTAACCCTGAATGTAAAAGCATCAGGTCAGTTGTGTAGGAGGATCTGTGGAAATTTTTATAGGGATGACTGTAATATTAATAGCTATTATTTTGTTGAGGGAGCCGTCTCTATACCAGACTCTGAGAAAACTGACCTTAAGTCATAATCCAATCTACGTCTGTGAATCTCCAAAGACAGATACAGTATTGACTGTCAGCAGACATGTGTAGAGAAATGTTCAACGTGAATCCTCACTGTTGTCTTCATTATTTACCACTTACTGTGTTTATGACTCAAGTGGAAGATGCTTTGAAATTATATATTTCAGTATCTCCATTTCTCTAGTAAGGGCTCCACATTTGGACCCCCATGTCCATCTCTTAAGTCTCTCAACATTTTTAGTAAAAGCTCTGCTAGATCTGATAAACCTTTTCTGTGGCTAGGCTTTCACCAAGGACTTTTAGGGGTAAAGATAATCTACTCAGCAAAATGACCATATACTTGGAGTGAGTAAATATTTTTTAATACCAGCTGAGATTGACTTTGAGGATGGAAACTAAGACTAGATATCCATGATAGGGGTACTTTTAATATCTTTAATTCAGCTTTTTCTTCAGAGATATGTTCTTTATGTAAGTAGTTGGGCACTGTGGCACACACCTATGATGCTAGTAATTCAGAGACTGAGGCAAGAGGATTACAAGTTTGAGGCCAACTTCAGCATCTTAGACCCTGTCTCAAAACAAAATATAAAGGGCTAGGGACATGATTAAAGTGGTAGAGTGCCTCTGGGTTCAAGCCCTGGTACCACCAACAAGGGCAGGAAATTATATAAGTGGGCTGTTGTCTCTTCAGTCTTCTAGGTTTTTATTCTGTGGTGATGCCAACCTTGAAGCCATTATTGCTTCTGAAGAAGAAATATGGATCATGGAAAAATCAGCTCTTCAGAAAACCTTAAAAAAAACGGAAGCTGAAGTATATAAACTGAAAGCTGAACTGAGAAATGACACTTTACTTCAGAATCTGAACTCTGATTCTGAAAATACCTCACTAAAGGTAGGTGACATCTTCCTTCTAATGATAGTCCTCCATTTTTTGCCTTTTTTTCATCTCTCTGCCCTTACTCAAACAGACTAAAGAAATGTGGGTGGCGCTCAGGTTGTCTCCGGAGGCCATTCAGTGTGTTGTGATTCCAAGGTCTCTAGCATGTCACAGAAGGTTTGTGAAGAGGCATGCCTCTTCTGGGAGGACTGGTAACAGGTTAAGCTCAATCACGGTGTCAACACCCAGAGCTGGTTGTCCTTCCGCCCACAGTTTCTATCTCAATAGACAAACAGTACTGTTGTCTTTTCAATTCCTTACAAACATACTGCTACTGTCAGTGTAAGAACATTGTGCCCTAAGATGGGAAGCCCTTGGAGTAGCCTCTCTAATGTGTAGAGATTAATATTGCATAATCACTTAATGTAAAATCCAAAATAAAGAGAAAGAAAAGTATTGGGAATATTTATTCTGATTATGGAATAAACATAAATTTATGACTCATACAGTAACAGAATAATTGGCTTATTTAAAAAGCTAAATAGATGCGTGACCACAATAATAAAATAGCTCCATGAAATTTTAAAAATTCTCGGATGAAAAAGATAGCTCTATACATAAGAAAACACAAATGATTATAGGAAGACAAAAATATTTACAATAATATCATGAACAGGGGCTAAAAAACTCAAACTAAAACCATAACTATAATATTTACATACCATTGACTACAAAGTGGCAAAGTTATAATGGTTAAAGTTACATAAACCTTCAACTTTGCTGATGAAGCTAAAAACAGTACCTGCCATCCTACAACTGCTTTTTTTTTTTTTTTAATCTAGGTAATAATCATCCCCTAGAGAACAATTTGAATGACTTCTTAATAATGACTTTATGTTCTTCCCTTCTTTAAATGTAGAGGACTTATGGTAAATACTTGAGGGCAGAAAGTTTTCGTAAAGCTCTCATTTATCATAAGAAATACCTGCTGCAATTATTGGGCGAATTCCAAGAATGTGAGAATGCCACCATAACGCTCCTTGCCTGGATGCGGGGTCAGCCAGCCTTCACCAATCTGGAGTTCATCAGCCGCCCAAAGGGCTTAGCCAGATTTCGTTCAGCTGTCAGAGTGTCCATTGCAATTTCACGGTAAAGTTCTTGAAAGAAAATTGATTTTATTCAGAGACCCTCTAAAGGGATGTTTGTCCTGTAATTCTAGCTACTCAGAAGGCTAAGGCAGGAGCATTGCAAGTTTGAGGCCAGTCTCAGCAACCTATTGAGACACTATGTCAAAATAAAAAGCAAAAAAGGGTTGGGGATATGGCTCAGTGGTAGAGCAGTTCTGGATTTAATCTCCAGTACCATAGGGAGGGAAAAAAAGTTTGTATAGTATTTCTTTGCCATCCCTAAAATATAACTTTCTCTCTGGGTTTTCATCCTTTTAGCAGGGATTCTTTATTCTGTACTGTGTAAATATACCCTTTGGAAAGGGCCTTCTTAGGTACATGCAGCTGGTGACTCAAGCTGGCACATCCAGTCCAATTGTCATTTTTTAATTTGAATAGACCTATGAACTAGCTTATACATACATAGACATAAGAGATATCATAAAAAGGAAAAGTTTTTTTGAAAAATCACACCTTAGGCTGGCAGACATCTGTCTTCCTTTCCTACTAAAATAACCTGTTTTTGTACCCAGCTCTGGAAAGCCCTGGTCTACCTCTGCATTCAGGTCCAAGGTTGGCCTTCAGGGATTCTGCTAGTGCTTTTGTCACTCTTTTCCTAGTAGTTCCAAGCTAGGAACTTTGGCATTCATTCCGTATGTGGTTGAAACTACCTTGTAGTCCTGAACTACTACTGTCCTCTAATCTAACTAGTAGATAAGATAATCAGGGGCTGGGGCTGAGGCTCAGTGGTAGGGCGCTTGGCTAGCATGTATGAGGCACTGGGTTTGATCCCCAGCACCACATAAAAATAAAGGTTTGTGTCCATCTACAACTAAAAAAATAAAATAAATTTTTAAAAGATCACTCAGACACTTAGGCTTCTCCATGTGTACCCTCCTTTTTATTTCTCTGAAACTCAGCAGAGTCCCAAAGGAATTTTGTTTCTTAAAGTAGTTCTTGTCAGGTCACATTTGATGCTTCTTCAAAGGATTTTGCTTTTTTTTTTTTCTTCTTCTGAAAAATATGAGTTTTGCTTTTGTTTCTGTGTTTTTAAACTGGAAACTTGAGTTTCCTTAGTTCCAAATGTCAGTTCACAAATGAGAAAAAGGGGACAAGGAGGGGTTATAAACCCAGTAGGCACAATTAGCCTGGTCTCTCTATTGCACCCATGCTGGCTCTCTAAAAGCAGCTCAGGTCTAACCTGTTTGTCTTCCACCGTGCCTGCCTCTTCTCCTTATTGTAGTCTCACACTCCAGTTTCTCCTTTCCCACTTCTCATTCCCAACATCACCTTGTGTCTGGCAAACAAAGGATAAGCACTGGCAGATACATTGATGAAAAAGATGTAATACCTGCCTAAAATCCAAAGACAGCTCACTTTCTGTTGGGGAAGGGCCATATGCACAGAACTTGGGGGACACTCATGTGAAGTCTCAGGAGTTAGCCAGTCATTTTGATTAGAGGAATTTGGGGAGACTTATATTTTGACTCTCTTAAAATTGAGTCTTGAAACACACTGGTTCCACAGCGTGCTCTCACCTTCAGAATTATGATCCTGACAGAGCCCTGGCACTCCAGAAAGCTCTCTAAGCCAAGATGGGCCATGCAGCAAACTTAATGCAGCTATATGATGACATTAATGCCCCCATTCATTTAAAGCCAGCATTGTTTTTTGTTCCTGGTCACATGGCCTCACCCATCCTCCAGCTCCCTCTTATGGGTCCTTCTATTCTTTTTTTCCTCTCATCTGCCTTTCATCCACTGTTCTGTTTCCTGCGGCTCCTTTCTTTCTGTGTAGTTTTGCCCTCCATCTCTTCCTGTCTCATTAATCCGTAAAGCTAGAACCTGATTCTGGTAACACCAAAGACCTCTGCTTCCCCTTGGAAATGAAGTGAGGGGAGCTTACAACTGTGTTCTTCTGTTCCAGTTAATTTTGCCATCAACCCAGGCACATGTACATAGTTTTGGATTAGGAAATTGTGATTATGTTGAAATCTTATTCTGTGTTCATATTTAAATAATTTTTGTAGAAGGTGTATTTTATGATCTTTATAGATATGCTGTGATGTCTTATCTTGGAATCTTTTTTTTAGAATGAAAATTTTGGTTCAACGGTGGCAGCAAGTCACAGATTCTAGTTCCACCAATGTTAACAGGGATGGCTTTGAACTGAATCCAGGTAAAGTCAAAATAGCATTTTTCTACATTTACAGCCCTCTAAAATTACTGAAAATGTAATATCTTTCAAATAGCAAATTCTGGAGCCAGTGTTTTCCAAAGATAAAGGAGCTTATAACTAACAAGGTTAGGGACTTCATTGTTTTAAAGAGAGTAAGAATTGCTGATTTTTATGGAGCACTGGTCTACACTAAGCCCTGCTTTTTTCATATATTCTGCCAACTTGATGTAATCACAATTACTATTATTCTCACTTTACAGATGAAAAATTTAGCACTGGAAAACACATGGTATTTGTCCCAGATTACCCAGTAGGGGCACTTAAGGCTCTCGGTTCAAGAGAGAATAGCTATTAGTCATGTAAAACGGTTATGGTTTGAAGTTTTCATGATCTAATAATACTCAAATCATTTGAGCTTACTACTACATTGTATAAAAATAAGAACAGTTAAAATTCCTTCTCTCTACACCTAGAATGAAGTAGAAAGAACATTAGGGCTTGAACATTTGGGATATAAGGATGAGGTCAAAAGCGGGAGAGCACAGAGTACAGAGAATCTACCTGGAGATATTCTACCAACAGTTTAGCAGCAGAGAAAAGGGAAATTTCCATGAAAGTATTTTGAAATATAAATGCTTGCACTGAGAAATTTTTATCTGTGTCATACCAAAAATTAGCAAATCTTGATTGCAATTTTTTTCCTATAAAAGGAGAGTGGAGTCATAAAGGATCTGGTTACATTAGTCTAATTTTTCTTATCCACATTATTTTTCCCCCAAATGATAACACATTCAGAAACCCTAAGATTGAGGTCTTTTAAGTAAGACAGCATGGTATAGTACACTATATTCACATGGTATAATACTGTTTTGTAGAAATGTTCAAGGGCTTGGTTTTTAGTTTTTGTTGTGTTTTGCTTTGTTTCTTAACATCTTGCATTACATTAAGGTGCTGAAAAGACTGACCCATTTTATCATTCTTCTGGTGAACTAGAGCTAGATGGAGAACCAAGACATACAACATACCGCTCAAGATCAGATCTGGATTCTCCTAGGTGCCTTTTACCGTTTCAAAATAGGTAAGAATTAAATGTATTAATATTTAACAGAGAAAGATGGACACTGATAGGACTCTGGCAGATGGACATGTTTAGTTGTAATTTGTTTAACCTATGGCCCAGAATCAAAGCTAGTTTTTAAATTTGTAAATGGTTTCTAAGGTTAAAGGAAACAGAGCTGATCAAATGTTGCTTACTATATGCAAGAGTTAGACACTGGAAAAAGTGTTGATTAAAATTGATAAGTCCCTGGCCGTTAGAGAAAATGTTAGTCTGCATGACAGATGCATTTTTACATATCCAACACTTACTGACAAACTGACAGGTTTTATACTTGGCATTTTCATGAAGCCCTAGCTTCTTTGAATTTATTGAAGACCAATTTCTTTCCCATCCCAAACTTAGAAGCATGGGGCATATAGATCATATAATATGTACGTGGCCTGCCTTTCGGGGGTGGGGGAGGAGGCAGGTGTGTAATGTGATTGCATTGTTTCTGGGTAATTTGGTTCATGTACATTGCTTTTAATCCTTAGGTCCCCAGGCACCCTAGCTGATTTAAATCCTGGTTCCACAGCGTGCTCTCACCTTCAGAATTATGATCCTATAGAGCCCTGGCAGATTATATCACTCAGCTAGAGGCACTACAAAGAAGACTTGGAACTGTACAGACAGGTGCTTAAGTTTAACCACTTATTGGTAGTGCCATAGTGCTAGACCCACAGCTCTCCTCATTTTGAAAGCTTAAACTGTGTAACCAGCAGCACAACTAACTTTAGAGTATTCAAGACATGATTTATCACCTCAAATCCTGCCCACCCCCAAATAATTCCCCTACTATCTCTTCATTCAGTAGATTGCTCATAGAAAACACATGATTGAAGACTAATGTGGGAAGGTGCTCTGAGGTAATGCATGGTAGAAAGTGGTGAGGCCTACAGATACTGGTGAGGAAGAGGATTGAGCACTTAGTACAACCATTATCCCTACTACTGCATGGTGCTTTTAAGAGTGATCCAAAAAAAAATCCTAACAATGATCTTTTACTTTTCTTTCCTCAAAAATATCAATATCATACTTGATAACAGAAGTGGATTCTCTATTCATTATGAGAAAACTTCTTTTCCCTGTCTTCCTTTAGTTCACTTCTGATCCA